CGTTTTTTTCAATTTTTCGTACGACATAGTATATAGTATGTCGTTTTTTTCAATTTTTCGGACGTCATACTATAGTATGTCGCTTTTTCTCAATATTTCGGACGACATACTATAGTATGTCATTTTTTTCAATTTTTCGTACGACATAGTATATAGTATGTCGTTTTTTTCAAAAAACGACATACTTAGTATGTTTTTTTTTCAATTTTTCGGACGACATACTATATAGTATATCGTTTTTTCTCAATATTTCGACGACATACAATATTATGTCGTTTTTTAAAATTTTTCAGACGACATACTATAGTATGTCGTTTTTTTCAATATTTCGGACGACATAGTATATAGTATGTCGTTTTTTTTTCAATTTTTCAACGACATACTATAGTATGTCGTTTTTTTCAATTTTTCGGACGACATGTCGTTTTTTCTCAATATTTTGCACGACATAGTCGTCCGAAATACATACTATAGTATGTCGTTTTTTTAAATTTTTCGGACGACATGTCGTTTTTTTCTATTTTTTGACCACATACTATATATAGTATGTCGTTTTTTTCAATTTTTCGTACGACATAGTATATAGTATGTCGTTTTTTTCAATTTTTCGGACGACATAGTATATATAGTATGTCGTTTTTTCTCAATATTTCGACGACATACTATAGTATGTCATTTTTTTCAATTTTTTGACCACATACTTAGTATGTCGTTTTTTTCAATTTTTCGGACGACTTACTATAGTATGTCGTTTTTTCTCAATATTTTTTTTTCAATTTTTCGACGACAAACTATAGTGTCATTTTTTTCCATTTTTCGACCACAGACTATAGTATGTCGTTTTTTCTCAATATTTTGCACGACATAGTCGTCCGAAATACATACTATAGTATGTCGTTTTTTCTCAATATTTCGACGACATACTATAGTATGTTGTTTTTTTCAATATTTCGGACATAGTATACTATATACGATATAGTATATAGTATGTCGTTTTTTTCAATTTTTCGGACGACATGTCGTTTTTTCTCAAAATTTCGGACGACATAGTATAGTATGTCGTTTTTTTAAATTTTCGACGACATAGTATAGTTTGTCGTTTTTTTAAATTTTTCGGACGACATGTCGTTTTTTTCTATTTTTTGACCACATACTATATATAGTATGTCGTTTTTTCAATTTTTCGTACGACATAGTTTATAGTATGTCGTTTTTTTCAATTTTTCGACGACATAGTATAGTATGTCGTTTTTTTCAATATTTCGGACGACATATTATATTATGTCGTTTTTTTAAATTTTTCGTACGACATAGTTTATAGTATGTCGTTTTTTTCAATTTTTCGACGACATAGTATAGTATGTCGTTTTTTTCAATATTTCAGACGACATACTATAGTATGTCGTTTTTTTTAATTTTTCGGACGACATGTCGTTTTTTTCTATTTTTTGACCACATACTATATATAGTATGTCGTTTTTTTAAATTTTTCGTACGACATAGTATATAGTATGTCGTTTTTTTCAATTTTTCGACGACATAGTATAGTATGTCGTTTTTTTCAATATTTCGGACGACATAGTATAATATGTCGTTTTTTTCCATTTTTCGAACGACATAGTATAGTATGTCATTTTTTTCAATATTTCGGACGACATACTATATAGTATGTCATTTTTTTCAATTTTTCGACCACATACTTAGTATGTCGTTTTTTTCGACCACATAGTATGTCGCTTTTTCTCAATATTTCGGACGACATACTATAGTATGTCGTTTTTTTCAATTTTTCGTACGACATAGTATATAGTATGTCGTTTTTTTCAATTTTTCGGATGTCATACTATAGTATGTCGCTTTTTCTCAATATTTCGGACGACATACTATAGTATGTCGTTTTTTTCAATTTTTCGTACGACATAGTATATAGTATGTCGTTTTTTTTCAAAAAACGACATACTTATTATGTCGTTTTTTCAATTTTTTGGACGTCATACTATAGTATGTCGTTTTTTCTCAATATTTCGACGACATACAATAGTATGTCGTTTTTTTAATTTTTTCATACGACATACTATAGTATGTCGTTTTTTTCAATTTTTCGAACGACATAGTATAGTATGTCGTTTTTTTCAATTTTTCGACCACATACTATAGTATGTCGTTTTTTTCAATTTTTCGGACGTCATACTATAGTATGTCGCTTTTTCTCAATATTTCGGACGACATACTATAGTATGTCGTTTTTTTCAATTTTTCGTACGACATAGTATATAGTATGTCGTTTTTTGAAAAAAACGACATACTTAGTATGTCGTTTTTTTCAATTTTTCGTACGACATACTATATAGTATGTCGTTTTTTCTCAATATTTCGACGACATACAATAGTATGTCATTTTTTAAAATTTTTCAGACGACATACTGTAGTATGTCATTTTTTTCAATTTTTCGACCACATACTTAGTATGTCGTTTTTTTCAATATTTCGGACGACATAGTATATAGTATGTCATTTTTTCAAATTTTCGACCACATACTATAGTATGTCGTTTTTTTCAATACGACATACTATAGTATGTCGGTTTTTTTCAATTTTTCGGACGACATATGTCGTTTTTTTCAATTTTTCGGACGTCATACTATAGTATGTCGCTTTTTTTCAATTTTTCGGACGACATACTATGGTATGTCGTTTTTTTCAATTTTTCGTACGACATAGTATGTAGTATGTCGTTTTTTTTCAATTTTTCGAACGATATAGTATAGTATGTCGTTTTTCTCAATTTTTCGGACGACATAATATAGTATGTCGTTTTTTTAAATTTTTCGACCACATACTATAGTATGTCGTTTTTTTTAAATTTTTCAGACGACATACTATATAGTATGTCATTTTTTTCAATTTTTCGACCACATACTTAGTATGTCGTTTTTTTCAATACGACATACTATAGTATGTCGTTTTTTTCAAGTTTTCGGACGACATATGTCGTTTTTTTCAATTTTCGACCACATATAGTATTTTTTTCAATTTTCAGACGACATACTATAGTATGTCAATTTTTCAACCTGTAGCCTGCACAAAATAATAACCCCGTATTTTATTTTGGCGGGTCAAACCGGACAGCACGCTTTAAATTCGGGGTCAGAACTGCACTCGGATCTGCTCAATTGCTTTTGCTGCTGTCGCTGTGGCTGGCTGCTGGTGTTGGCGTTTTCCTAAATCGCTGAAGAATATTGCAAAATCGAGCCCAATTAACACAGCCGAAGGATTATATTGGGTATAGTCTGACAACTGCTCGACGGTGAGTCGTTCATTTTACGTCTTTTGTTTTTTTTGTATAGTAGAAATGCGGTGGCGACACGCCCACTTAAAATGATGTACTGGCGTTTTAGAATGGTCTTGTAAACTAAAAGATCATTCTTTCTTTGTTAATTTTGTGGCCGAATAGAATATATATTCTCAATGAATTAAGCAAACCTTTTGATTTTTGTAAATTTGCCCTTTACGGATACTTTTAGTTACTTTTCATTGATTTTGTTAACTGCCAATGGAACTTTGGAATTGGTTAATTTCTTTAGGGTTGCGCAACAAAACAGAAAAAAAAAACTATTTGAAGTAGTAATTAAGTCAATTAAGTTTAATTGACTTTAATGTCAATTAAACTTGGATACAACTTGAAAGTGCACTTTATTAGATCTGTGACTTTATTAGATCTGTGACTTTATTAGATCTGTGACTTTATTAGATCTGTGATTTTACTAGATCTCTGACTACTTGATCTGTTACTTGATTCTAATCTGTAACATTAATGTGATTAATTTGAAACTCATTTGAATCATTTCTGATAAGTACTTTATGGAATATAACTATTTTTTGTAATGAATGTTTATGTGTCTCAAATAGCAGATTAAGCCTGTTACATGCTAATTTGTTTTATTTATGACCTTGTTTAGGTCAGGTTTTTTTTCCACCCCCGGTTTCAACCCAGGATGGTGAGCTACCAGATCACCGCAGCTTTGCGGTAGGACTAACTTGGACCAAATTGCTTTAGTTCTCTGGACCTATAGCCCTGGATCATGGACTAGGGAAAACAAAAGGACCTAGTCAGACTGTGATTGGTGGATCATTAATCACTCTGCATGTAAAGTACTGGACTTGAATGAGAAAAAGAACTCTTGGGTGTTATCGGGATTTATTTATTTATTTGTTTAATTATTGATTTATTTTTGTTGTCTTGTTGTAATTATTGTTTATACTCATAGGAAAATACAAATATATATTATTATTATTGAATACCTCCCTAAATATATGCAAAGATATGCTTTTGAATACAATGACTTAAACTTACAACCTGTCTGTTGGTGTTTTATTCACATGCACGGGCTCCTCAGGCGAACCCTTCTGATTGCCTATTGCTATATTTGGCTGTAGTCAGGCGCCTAGCCTCAGTGAGCGTTACACTTGGTGAGCTAGCCAGGAGCCTGTGAGTGTGAATATTTTTTTGGGGGGTTCCTTAGTTACACTTTGAATATTTATTTGAGTTTTGAGGAGGAAAAGCTTGAGTAAAATATATAATATAGAGGGGAAAAGAAAAATAAACATGGATTTTGTTGCGCAATCTGGTATAAATGTATCACAGTCAGTGATGATTACTGGTGCTACTAATACCAAGGCCGATGAAGAAATACTTGATTGCTGAGTAGCTATGGTAAGCTTAGTCGCACTCTGTATGTAACTGATTCCTCAAGCACTTTTTTTAAAACCTGATCGTTGAATTTGCGGATTCCACTGCTTTTTCCGCATTGCAACCGCTTTTGCCTTATACTTACTCCTCTCAAACAACCACTGATCTTGTGTTCCGTGTCACTGCTTTGGCACTCGAGTACGCAGCCACAGTCGATAGCAGCAGTAGTCATCAGCCCAACTATGTCGCTGAACTTAAGAAAATCGCTGAGCAGAGCGGCCATCGTTTTGAAGATGTATTAAAGGTAGTAATGAGCCAGATCGGCCAACATTTGCATGCAGCAGGAGCCGACGACAATTTTGGAGGTGATGCTGGCATTAGAGATGATGATGATGATGATGATGATTATGACGACGACGATGACGATGAAGAGGGTGGAACAAAGGTAAAAGAGGAAGAGGATACATTCATTGCTCGACAGCCAGTGCAAACAGGATTGAGATCAGGGTCATTATCCTCACTTCCTCCTGCTCATTCCTCTGCGGAGCAGGGAGCACGACCCCGACGCAGGAAACCGGAACCAGCTTCAAGGCTGACACTGTCCACCAATGACCTCAATCCACCTCAAATACAACGGGTTGTTGTTGAACATGTGGTCAGAAATGCTGATTTGACTGGTTCAACCTCACTTCGTCTTCGAACTTTTTCTGGACGGCTTCCTAAGCCGAGTAATGAAGCGGATTTTGAATCCTGGCGTTCCCAGATTGAGTCTCTGCTTGCTGACCCCAGCTTTCCTGCGCTGCATATCACCAGAAAAATTACAGAAAGCTTGTCATCACCTGCAGCTGACTTGGTCAAAGGTTTGAGCCCCAACACATTACCAGCGATTTTGCTAAATATACTGGATTCTGCCTTTGGGACAGTGCAGGACGGTGAAGAACTGTATGCCCAATATTTAAACATTCTCCAGAATCCAGGGGAACGACCGTCCAGTTACCTTCAAAGGCTTCTGCTTACTCTTAACACTGTTGTGAAGCAAGGAGGAATCTCACCTGCAGACATTAATAAACATCTATTGAAACAGTTTTGTCGTGGGTGCTGGGACAACACTGTCATAACCAAGTTACAGCTGGAACAAAAGAAAGATAACCCACCATCTTTCTCTGATTTGTTGTTGCTATTGAGAACAGAAGAAGACAGACAGTATGCTAAAGAATCACTTATGAAAAAGCATATGGGCACATCAAAACAGAAAGTTCATATCCAGTCCCAAAGTGCCTGTCCTTGTGGACATTCTGCACCCAATGAAGAGCTGAAAGAAATGAAAAAAGAACTTCAGAAATTACAGCAGCAAATGTCTCAACTTCTGTCCAAGAAAAGTTCAACTGAATTCAAGTCCATGCCAACACAGAAGAAATCATACTCTTCTTCACCTCAGTCAAAAACCAAGCCCAAGCCCTGGTACTGTTTTAATTGTGGAGAAGATGGTCATCTTTCCTCCTCCTGCACAAGTAAAGCAAACCCTAGTCTTGTTGAGCAGAAAAAGAAACTGTTACGCCAAAAGCAGCAAGCATGGGATGAAAAGAATTCAAAATCTTTAAACTAAGAACAGCTTCTATTGTGGGACACACAGAAGCTGTGCATATGAACAGTCCCAAAGAACGCCAGATAAAGACAGTGCCACGAGGTCTTGTTGGCACAAAGAGTACAGGCCAAGTTCAAATAAAAGGAGATTGGTTCAACTGCCTCCTTGATTCTGGCTCACAGGTTACTACTATCCCCTACTCCTTCTACAATACTTACCTCAGGGATCATGAAATTAAACCAATAAGCAACCTGTTGGAAATAGAAGGAGCTAATGGACAAACAGTGCCTTACCTGGGATATGTAGAGATTAACATAACCTTCCCGCCTGAATTGTTTGGTTTACTTGTTGAAGTCGACACACTCACTCTTGTTGTGCCTGATATTAAACCTTCTCAACATCTGATTCTTATTGGCACCAACACCTTAGATGTTGCTTATAGCAAACATTTTGATACCCATCCTGATGACTCATTTCAACCTTTGATGTCAGGCTATATAGCAGTGTATAAGATCCTCCAACACCGCTATGCCCAGAGGTTGAATGACTATAATGCAAATGTCACCCTGCAGTCTAATCAGCCTCAACTCATCCCTGCTGGCCAAACCACAGTTGTAGAAGGTTGCTTGGCTGCAAGATTATGGCAAGATGTAAAACAAGTCCTCCTTGAACATCCAAATTCTTATGCTCTCCCTGGTGGGCTTATGGTAAAAACGTGCCTCATTGACTTGCCTCAACATAGGCCCTGTCATCTGCCAGTTGTGGTAAGCAATGAGTCTGACCATGAGATTCATATTCCAGCACGAGCAGTCATAGCAGAAATCAGCACTTTCCAGAGTGTTATCTCCCAAGAGCAAAAAGTTCAGAATTCAACCCAGTCTACAGAGTCACTACAACAATCTCAACCACATTACAACTTTGGAGATTCACCTTTATCTCCTGAATGGAAGCAGCGAATCACCGAAAAACTCAACAGTATCCCTGAGGTGTTTGCAAAGCATGACTTGGACTTTGGCCGGACAGACAAGGTTAAACATCAAATCAAGTTGTCTGATCCCACTCCTTTTAAACAAAGGCCAAGACCAATCCACCCTCAGGATGTCGATGCTGTCAGAAAACACTTGCAAGAACTTTCTGATTCAGGAGTAATAAGAGAGTCTAATTCGCCATTCGCTTCCCCAATAGTGGTTGTTCGCAAGAAGAACGGCAGTGTACGCCTTTGTATTGACTATAGAAAATTAAATCTCCAGACAATAAAGGACGCCTATGCTCTACCAAAGCTGGAAGATACCTTTTCTGCCCTTTCTGGATCAAAGTGGTTCACTGTGTTAGACCTCAAGTCAGGATATTACCAGATTGAAATGGAGGAAAAGGATAAATCCAAAACGGCCTTTGTTTGTCCATTGGGGTTTTGGGAATTCAACCGCATGCCCCAAGGGGTCACTAATGCCCCAAGCACATTCCAACGGTTGATGGAAAAATGCATGGGGGAGCTGAATCTAAAAGAAGTTTTGGTCTTTATTGATGATTTGATTATTTTTGCACCCACTCTGGAGGAACACGAAGAACGCCTGATGAATGTTCTCAACAAACTTAAAGACTTTGGGTTGAAATTGTCTGTTGAGAAATGTGTATTTTTTCAAACATCTGTGAAATATCTTGGGCATGTAGTGTCCCAGAATGGTGTTGAGACTGATCCTGATAAGATCAAAACACTTACTTCCTGGCCAGTACCCAAGAACCTGAAAGAATTGAGATCTTTCCTTGGTTTCTCTGGATATTACCGCCGTTTTGTTCAAGGATATTCAGTCATAGTTAAGCCACTGCATGACCTCACTGCTGGTTATCCGCCATCCCAGAAGAAACTGAGGTCAACTGTGAAACCAGAAAATTACCTGAACCCCAAAGCACCATTTGGAGGACGGTGGACACCAGTGTGCCAGCAGGCCTTTGAAACCATCATTAAGAGATTAACTTCTGCTCCTGTACTGGCATTTGCTGATCCACAGAAGCCCTACACACTCCACACTGATGCCAGTTCTACTGGTCTTGGTGCGGTGTTGTATCAGGAGCACGACAGAACAAACAGAGTTGTGGCATATGCCAGCAGAGGTCTCTCGCGAAGTGAGTCTAAATACCCAGCTCATAAATTAGAGTTTCTCGCTCTAAAATGGGCAGTAACGGAGAAATTTAATGATTATCTGTACGGCGCTCAGTTCACAGTTGTCACAGACAGCAATCCACTAACTTACTTGTTGTCCTCAGCAAAACTCGATGCCACCAGTTACAGATGGCTTGCAGCCTTGTCTACATTCACGTTCAAGATCAATTACAGAGCTGGAAAGCAGAACATGGATGCTGATGGATTGTCTCGGAGACCTCATGGTGAGCTGTCTGATGATCTTATCTCCAGAAAGGAACACGAACGAGTCCTGAAATTCGTTCAGCAACACCTAAATGAACCAGATTATGTCCCTATTGACCAACCCACCATTGAAGCGGTTTGTGCTCGTCACATGGTGTATAGTAGAGGTGTACATCTTGACAATGCTCTGGTGTTGTCTATGTCCGCCCATGTCAACAGCCTACCGGATAGTTTTACTGACGATGAACAGTTCAACTCCTTTTCTCTTCCTCAATTCTCATTAGATGACATTGCAGTCAAACAGCGTGACGACCCTGTTATCCGCCATGTCATAGCTACACTCGAAGGAGGAGAGTCACCATCACCATCAGTGAGGGAAGAACTTCCTGAATTGCCCCTGCTACTGCGAGAAGTAAACAAACTGGAGCTCCAAAACAACCTTCTCGTTAGGAGGAGACAAGTGGGAAGTGAGCCAACATACCAACTAGTATTACCTCAGAGGTATCGAGCTGCTGTGCTACACCAACTGCATAACCAAATGGGTCATATGGGAATTGAAAGAACTCTCGATTTAGTCCGTTCCCGTTTCTACTGGCCCAGAATGTTCATCGACGTTGTTGACAAATCAGAACTTGTGAAAGGTGTGTGAAACGCAAATCATTGCCTGAGCGAGCTGCACCTTTGGTCAACATCAAAACCACTCATCCATTGGAGTTGGTGTGTATGGATTTCCTTTCTGTAGAACCGGATCGCAGAGTCAAAGACATTCTTGTCATAACAGACCACTTCACAAAGTATGCCATTGCTGTGCCTACTCCAAACCAAAAAGCCAGAACTGTTGCAAAGTGTTTGTGGGACAATTTCCTTGTGCACTATGGTATTCCGGAAGATTGCACAGCGATCAGGGTTCAGATTTTGAATCGCGAACCATTCGAGAGCTCTGCAAGATGGTCAATATCCACAAAATAAGAACCACTCCATACCATCCAAGAGGAAACCCTGTTGAGCGTTTTAATCGGACACTGCTGGACATGTTGGGAACGTTAACCGAAAAGGAAAAAACTCATTGGAAAGACTTGTAAAACCGCTAGTGCATGCCTACAATTGCACGAAAAACAATGTTACAGGATACTCACCATATGAGCTGATGTTTGGACGCCAACCTCGCCTACCAGTGGACTTAGCCTTTGGACTGCCATTGAGTAGGGACGGATTTACCTCCCATACGCAGTATGTGCAGAAGTTAAAGTCCCACCTGGAGGAAAGCTATAAACTGGCTAGTAGGAACTCAGCTAAGGTGATGCAACGTAACAAGACTCGATTTGATCGAAAAGTTACTGCATCAGACCTGGACATTGGAGACAGAGTATTGGTGAGGAAATGTGCGACTAAGAGGGAAGCACAAGCTCGCAGATAAATGGGAGTCATCTGTGTATATTGTTGTGAAGAAAGCCGGCAATCTTCCTGTGTACACAGTCAGACCAGAAAGCCAAGACAAACCACTAAGAACCCTACATCGAGACCTTTTATTACCATGTGGGTACTTACCAGTTCCTGAGGAGGAAATACCTACCAGAGACAAAAACAAATCTCCTGTGTTTTCCCCAGTACCTGCTGCTGATGATGACCAAGCAGAGGATGAACTAATCAATCCACCTCTGCACATTCCACTATCTTTTGAACCTGTCAAATTTACAATTGACCTTGATCTACCTCCTGCTGAGCAGCCTGTCGACTTCACACAATTCCCAGGACCTGTCACTGAAGAAGACCGGGACACTGAGGAAGATGAACCAAAACCTGTGGAAGGAACCACAACTGTTGAAAAGGAACAACTAGCAACAGGCAGTGAGGAACCTGAAATTGATTCTGGACAAATCACTTCTGCAGAGGTCTCCAGAGCTGATGGAAGTCTCTCTCTGGATCCTGATACGCCAGAATCTGACAAGGCAGGACTTGACATACAAGAGCTTGATGTGCCAGACATTTCCAGCTATGCTGAAGAACCTCAAGAACCAGTGGAATCAGTAGCTCTGGATACTGAAGACCAACCCCTGAGACGTTCCAGCCGTACAAGACATCCACCAGCTCGGCTACAGTATACTAAACCTGGCAACCCATTATTGAAAAGCATCCAGACTTTGCTTCATGGATTGAGTTCTGCTTTTTCCTTCGCCCATCAAGCAGATGAAGAAGAGCAGTTGATTTGCTTCATACCCCAGCCAGCCACCTATCTGCTGCCAGCCTACTACATGTGCGAGGACGTACATGGGATCAGGAGGGGAGAGTGTAGCCTGCACAAAATAATAACCCCGTATTTTATTTTGGCGGGTCAAACCGGACAGCACGCTTTAAATTCGGGGTCAGAACTGCACTCGGATCTGCTCAATTGCTTTTGCTGCTGTCGCTGTGGCTGGCTGCTGGTGTTGGCGTTTTCCTAAATCGCTGAAGAATATTGCAAAATCGAGCCCAATTAACACAGCCGAAGGATTATATTGGGTATAGTCTGACAACTGCTCGACGGTGAGTCGTTTATTTTACGTCTTTTGTTTTTTTTGTATAGTAGAAATGCGGTGGCGACACGCCCACTTAAAATGATGTACTGGCGTTTTAGAATGGTCTTGTAAACTAAAAGATCATTCTTTCTTTGTTAATT